GGATTTCTGCTGTTCCCCACGTGCTCTACAGCTCATCCTTATACTCTCCAGTTTGTTCTTGCTCTCCCACACCCTACATCCACCATCCTGTCACAAAGTGTTTATCCCATGGACTTTATGTCTGTTGCACACCAGACGTGAAGACAATACCTTACCGACACTCCTCAACCTGCCCCTACACTGGCATAAAGTCAGAGTCCCATAAGAAGTCCTTTTATGTTCCATATGATTCAGCAATCCCACCTCTGGGTATATACCTATAGAGAGCAAGATAGTCATTCCTGTCAAGCAGAGATCTAAGCAGCCAAGGATGTTGCAGGTAAGACCAGATATCCTCGAAACCAGCGCAGGCTGACAACACCCAGAACTGATAACCAGCAGAACCAAAGGAGGTCTGCTAAGGCCCAAGGCTGATAAAACTCCAACGAGCTTAAAAAGGAGCTGCAACCAACAGTCAGACTCTCCAGATGCTGACCCTTTCGCATCTATCTGCATCAGAAAGGCAACTGTGGCCAAAGGCTCTGCCAGATTGATCTCTGAGCATAATACAGATCCTCCACTGCTTGAATATGATAGGCAGCAAATGCCAAGAGCTGACGCAGATCAGATGGAGGCCTCGTCTCAACTATGCGCCCACAGACTGGCTTCAAGTTAAGTTCATTAACTTCTTACCCCTTGTAACTTGTTTGTTGTGTGACTTTGTCTTGTGCTTTGCTTGGCACGGTGTGTATGAAGCCAAGTTAAATGCATATGAAACGTCATTGAGTTTGGAATCCTGAACCAGTTTTACCATTACATTAACATTGTTTGTGACTGAATGACGCTGACATTGTGGAAAGACAACTTGTGTGTGCATCTTCATAGTGTGCTTGTGACAATATCTAAAGGAAATGAAATCAATATTTTGAAGAGATATTTGCACCCCTGTGTTCATTGCAGCATTATTCATGATAGCCAGGATATAGAAACAACATACGTGCCCAACTGACTGATGAGTAAAGAAAATGTGGGAGATTTATATATATATATATATGAAATGGGAATAACAAAATTTGATTTTGATTAAAATCAAAACCTGGTACTTTGAAAAAAAGTAATGAAGAAAGAAAGCAAAAACTATATTATCAGTGAAAAATGGGGTCATCTTTTTAAAAATATAGATAGATTTATTTATTTATGTATTTATGTATGTATGTATGTATGTATGTATTTATAGGTAAAGCTCATAACCCTGAGATCAAGACCTGAGCTGAGATCAAGAGTCAGACACTTAACTGACTGAGCCATCCAGGTGCCCCAAAAGATTTTATTTTTAAGTAATCTCTATACTCAACATGGGACTCGAACTCACAACCCTGAGATCAAGAGTCACATGCTCTACTGACTAAGCCAGCCAAGCACCCCTGGGGTTGTCTTTTATAGAGGTGTAAAAAGTCAGAAAAGAATACTGTGAACACACTTACACAATCAATCTGACAAATGAGACTGAATGGACAACCTTCTAGAAAAAATATGATAAAAATGATACCAAAAGAAACACAACACACGGATTAACCCTAAACCATTAAAGAAATGCAATTATTACTTAAAATGACTACATAAACAACCATATCAAATTACCAGACCCAGAGGTTTTATGGTGAGTTCAATCAACCATGTAAGGATCAGAATTGAGCTTTCCTAGGAAATTGGAAAAAAAAAAAAAAAAAAAAAAAAAAGCCAAACTCCCCAATTGATTTTGGGCAGCTACAATAATCTTGATTTAAAATTAAATAAGAAGAGGGATGTCTGGCTGGCTCAGTCAGTGGAGTGGGTGACTCTTGGTCTCAGGGTTGTGGACTCAAGCCCGGTTTTGGGTGTAGACATTATTTAAAAAAATTTTTTTAACGTTTTTTATGTATTTTTGAGACAGAGAGAGACAGAGCATGAACGGGGGAGGGTCAGAGAGAGAGGGAGACACAGAATCGGAAGCAGGCTCCAGGCTCTGAACCATCAGCCCAGAGCCCGACGCGGGGCTCGAACTCCCGGACCGCGAGATCGTGACCTGAGCTGAAGTCGGCCGCTTAACCGACTGAGCCACCCAGGCGCCCCCTAAAATAATAATTATAAAAAAGCTAAATAAGGAGAACATGAGTAAGAAAAATTACAGCCATATTTTTAATCATAAACGCAAAAATCATAATTAAATGGTTAGCAAACAAATATTCAAGCCAAGAAAGATTTAAAGAATATGGGACTTCAACTATACTCAAAAAATTATTTTTTAAAAAAGATAAATGAAGAATTTGGGACAGTTTTGTATTTCCCTCTTAGAAATATTCCCTAAAAATAGAATGACACAAAAGTCCCCTTTATGATTGTCACTGTTCAACACTGTGTTGTTGTCCAAGCCAGTGCCCCACAGGCTTCAATAAAGGACAAGAGCTGTGGGGATCGCAAAAAAACACAAAAAACAGAAACTATGAGAAACAGCAAGCAAATTCTCAGTGAGGTTGGTAGATCCAACTTCAGTTTAGGAATATTAATAGTGTTCCCAGACACTAGCAACAAACAAAAGTGTAGATAAAGGTAAAGGTAGATAAAGGTTACAGTATCTCCCAAAGAGTTTACTAGAAGTGAACCTAACAAAATGTGTGAGACCTTTATTTTAAAAAGTACAAGATTCCATTGAAAACATAAAAAGAAGAACTATATAAATTGAAGTATGTACCATGTTCATGGATAGAGACCTTCGGTGCCACAAAGATGTCTATGCTTCCCAAAATTAACCTGCACGTTGATAGCAGGATTTGTCATGGAACCTGAAAATTTGTCCATAAATTCATGTTGATCTATAAAGAGCCAGTACAATTTTGAACAATTTGAGGTTTGTTCATGTGTTCCATTTCTTTTTTAATTTACTGAGGTGAAATTCACATAACACAAAAAGAGGCTGGACAGGTGGGCACAACACTGAACTTGTCACTGGATTTCCTGTTTATTTGCTCCATGGACTCTGGCTGTTCAGTGGGACCCTGCCCACCACAGGAGCCCTTAACTGAGCCAGCCCTCAGAGCTGAACCTGACCTGGAGCCTGGGTCACGCAACCAGTGACAAGGGACAGGGATCGAGGGGTTCACCGGCGGTAGATCAAAACAGACACTCTGGCCCTACCTTGTTTCTTGAAACCAGGAGCCCGCTATACCATCCCTGCCCCTCTTGCCCGTCCTTCCAGAGACCTGCCTTTCAGTTCCACTTTCCCTGACTCACGCAGGCACCAGTGTTCCTGAGAAGGGCCTGGGGCTCTCTGAGGGAGCACTTGAAACTCTGGGAACCAGAGATTGGTTGGAAATGCAGAGAGACACTCAGGGTGAGTGTGGGGAGAGGGCCATGAGCGGCCAAATTCTTCATGGGGTCCTCAGAGAGCTGCATGTTGATTTCACCTCCGTTCACTTGGGCAGAGCAAAGGTGAGACAGCGCCCAAGGGGAACTACCTCCATGATGGCATGGAAATGCCACCTGTCAAGACTGGGCCTTGTGATAAAGGGTAAAGAAGCACCCAAGGGAACTTGCCCAGCCAAAGAGCTCAGGTGGGTGAGTTAGAAGGAGGGACCCACTGCCTATCACTCCTTTGTCACGATTGCACCCAGGGCACAGTGTGAGGACTCCCCACAGCCTCCACCTGAGACACCGGCTTCAGATAGCTCCTCTAATGCGCATCCACTATGAACCTACTTCCCAGCCAATACACCTTTGCTTCTTTTATTCCCACCAGGAAATCTCCATCCTGCTAAGGGCAGCAATGGCCCAGCTACCATCACTAACATTCTGGGCCTCCCGTAAGGAAGTGGTGAGCACGAACTCGATCCTCCAACCTCCAGAAAGGCAGCACCAGGGCCTAGAGACTCAGCTCTGAGTGTAAGGCAGAACTCACCCCTCATGTAGCAGTGTGATGACACATCAGCCATCCTGTCCCTGAGTCATCGAAAGGAATCCTGTCAGTCACAACTGTCATGGGTTGAAAGATTGTATCCTCCAGATTCATATGTTGAAGCCCTAAACTCCTGTGGGATGGTGTTAAAAGTAGAATCTTTGGGGTGATTCGGTTTAGATGTTATCATGAGGGTGGGGCCCGTGAGGGGATTAGTGTCCTTCTGCTTTTCTTTTTTTAAAATGTTTATTTATTTGAGAGAGAGACAGAGACAGAGACAGAGACAGAGCCTGAGCAGGGGAGGGGCAGAGAAAGAGGGAGACACAGAATTCCAGGCAGGCTCCAGGCTCTGAGCTGTCAGCATAGAGTCCAACGCGGGGCTCGAACTCACAACAATGAGATCATGACCTGAGCCAAAGTCCGATGCTTAACTGACAGAGCCACCCAGGCGCCCCAGGTATCCTTCTAAGAAGAGAAGAGAAACCTAAGCTGTCCCTCCTTCTCCCTCTCCCTTCCTCCCTCTCTCCGTCTCCACCTGTCTCTGCCCTCAATCTGCCACATGAAGGCTGAGGGGATTTATGCAGAGGACCAACCACAGAATTAGGAACCCAAAGCCCATCTGTGCCTTTACTACTGTGGAGTCAGGAGAAAACACAGGAGTTCTGACATAAAGTACACACAGCATCCTTACCTTCATTCTTTCAACAGGCTTGTGGAGAGCAACACCTGGGCCCAGATGTGGGGACATGGGGACGACGCAGGGGTGACGCGGACAGGGCTCACCCCGAGTCCTCAGAGAGCCCACCCCTCCCCAGGAACCAGCTTTTGTCTTGCTCTCTCCACCCAATCTGTTCCAACCCCCTCTGGTATCCTCCTTTCTCTTTCCCTTTGCAATAACTCTGCCCAATGGGGCCGGTCTCCTTCTGGGGGCAGCTGTGCCCAGGGGAGAGGCTTCAGAGAAGAAGAGGCGAGTCTGAACCCGAGGCAGTGCAACCACCTGAGGGCTCCCCTGAGAACAAAGCAGGAAGGAGGTGGGGCTTCTGAGGAGGCAGCCTGGGAGGTCACTG